TGTTTGAAGCAAGATCTTCCTTAGTGATTTAATATTTGGGAAGGACAGAGGCTGAGAATGGATTACATAAATTAGCAAATGGCCAGAGCTTCAAATTTTGCAGATAGTTGGAATGCAGAGAAATAATTGGGTATAGGGCCAGATACTAGGGGAAAGGAGAAGGTCAGGACTGAGCTAATTTGACAGAAGGGAGGCTGTGGGATCATGCAAGGCCTGGCTACCAGGATTTAGGGTGGCAAGACTAATTTTAGCTCACCTCCTGGTACGAATAAGCTGCGAATGTGTTGTCAAGCTGGGTTTATTTGGCTAGAAACTAGGAGGAATTGAGGTGTTAGTTTAAGAGACCTAGCAGCTATAGATATGTGGGGCTGGGAAGGCAGAGACCAGTACACCCCAGCCTTTTGGAGTGCTGAGATTCCATTACAATCTATTTCATTCCATGACCCATATAACTGTTGAATGTCATATTCCATATAAAATAATTAAAGCTAATTAAAATTATTTTGGTCGGTGAGTGAAGAGTTTCATAATAATTTTTGAGATAGAGGTGTTTGGGGATGTCACAGAGGGAGTATTTGGAATAAATGTGCTGAATGTTTAAGTCAGAGATGTGCATTAAAGGCTAGTGACAGAGTAATGACTGTACTTGAGAGAACACTGAATTGAGATAGGACTATGGGCTTGTAATCAGTATTCTGGTAAATTATCTCTAAAAACAAGAACAACCTTGCTTTGTAGCAATTGCCAGTCTCTATGGTATAAATTTTCCCACCATGATAGAGTTCAGATTACCCATGGTTTAGTTACTGGCTTATACCGTTCCTGAAACAGCTCTTGCCAGCTCAGTGCAATGAATTAATTAACATCATATGGTAATTCAAATGAACTACATCAGACTCTCATGAAGGTATTGTGCTATACTAGAACACATAATTGCAATCTGTCCTGTGTCCTAATCAGCCATGTCTGAATCTTGTTGTCAGTGTGTGTGTCCTTCTCCAGTACCTCTTCCTAGGAGGATTAAACTAGTCTGTGAGTCCATCATCATCACAGCCCACCAGGAGGTAAGAAACCATTAGTATGCCAGAGAATTCTACACTCAGTACAGATGTTAGGGGTCAGTTTAGGGTGTGAGAGGAAAAAATTATATATATA